TAATATAATAATATTAAAAATAATTTTTTAAAAATAAAAAACATCATCTTCAAATATTTTTAAATAAAAAATATTTTAGTTTTATATTTTTTATATATATATAAAGTATCGAATCTTCTTTTATCAAATAATATTATTTTAGATTATACATGATAATTAAACTAAATGTTATTACAATATCCAACATTTATGTTCATTTACCTTTGTAATTTAGAGGCTTATTTCTTTCATTATTGGTTTGAATTTTAAGATTCGCGTGATAAATAAAATATAAATAGTTAATAACTCTTGAAAAGAAATGTTATTTATTTAAAATGCCTCCAAAAACAAATATTAACATTATTATTATAGTTATAAAATTTAATTTGAGAACTCAAGTTATAAGTTGGGAGAGATAGCCTTTTAGAAGTTTTTAAAAAATCAAAATAATATTATTTTAATAAAAATAATAAAAAAATCAACTAATTAAGAGCTAGATTTTGACTAGAGAAAGCCTGGGTTGACCGATTTATCTAATCCACTTGAGTTTTTGACCAGATTAACTAATTTTTATTTTTTACCTGGATCAATTCAAGCCCATAATAAACTAGATTTTGAGTTCAACCACCGTTAATTTTACAACTATAATTAAAACCGTGTTGATGCAATATGGTTATTATTTTGTTTGATTATTTGACTAATGGATGCAAAGCTGCTTTTAGATTTTTTCTAATGGGTTTTCTGTTTGTTCCAGACATAACATTCTATATGAGGTCCTTATATAGCATATTGGTTTTACTGCGCAGACTGCTATTTCTGCTCTGCAATCTGTTCTTCAAGAGGATTTCAAGGCTACTGAGATCGAGGTTCGATGTCTCCCTTTTATACATTCTGCAGTTAGTGGTACCAAACCACAAATATTAAATGACCGAAAGCAAAAGGATACTGGTATTAAATATAGTGGAAGGGTAGATATTAAAAAACAACAAAGACAGAAACTTCAGTGTAATTTGTCTTCTCTGACACATGTCCTATGATCGAACTCTGGTATTTCCACTTCTGTTAGGGTGGCTTTCCTTCTGTTAAGTTTCCAATAGAATTTGGAATATTTTCAGTGTCTGCTAAACATGCTTACCATTACAGCACGGGCATGAAAATGCTGTTTTAATAGATTTAAATATATAAGTAAAATGGTTTCTCACGGTCGGTGTTTGATTTTTGGCAGGTGGGAGTTGTGAGAACAGGTGACTGTGTTTTTAGAGTGCTGTCCACTGAGGAAATTGAGGAACATTTAACTGCTATCACTGAACGTGATTTATCTATGGGGCAATCATAGCCCACTTGGGGAAATTTTCTTGCTATAATTTGAAGGTTTTTAATAAAAAAAAATCATCTCAATTTAATAATTTAAAAAATAATATATTAAATAATAATTTAAATCATATCCTAAAATTTTTGGATTTGAATTTTATACACGTTACTTTATACTTTATTTTTATCAAATAAATAGCAATGGTAAATAAATAGGGGTTGTGAGATTTAAACTCGTAATTATTTAATTATTAATATTCTGATACCATATCACAAAACCATTTCAATTTAATAACTTAAGTTATTAAGTTATTAAATGAGGTTCTAAAATATAATTTATATTATTTTCTAATAAAATTATTATAACATTCTTACTTTATCACGAAGTTTGGCAGGAAAAGAAAGAGTTGGAAACATTGTTTTGTATTGTATTCCAAGATTCCTCCCAATATTTGTTAAATTGCCAAATCATGTAACCATTATTGACATTTCTGCAGTTTTCTGCCTCCTGTCTTCCAAGAAATGATAACGGGTCGGTTTAGGGAGAATGTTCTTAGTGATCCTAATTATTTGCATGTGCATGTATGGGATTTTATGAGCACCTGGTGTTTTGGATCTTTGAAAATTCGCCTGTAGTGAACCCATGCAGTTAGATGTTTTCATGCTGGGTCTAGTTGATATCTATGAAGCCAGCATACAACAATCTACCATTACAGCCCCATGCCGGCATGAGTAATTCCTTCATGTGAGTACATCAAAGACATCAGCATCATAACCACAGGCGCGCATGAATGTGAGAGAGCAGACCAAATACAAGCATTTGCGCTTCATTTTGATGATAAATTTGTATATGAACGATAGAGAATGATCTGCAGTGAGAGGTTATGCTCCGAAACATTTTTATAATACCGACCTAGCTAGTTTCATTTTTATTGATCTGTTTGACAGAAGTCATTGTCATATATATCCCAATGTGTAGTGCCATGATGAATGATGCTTGTCATCTTTCATTGATTTAATCTGGTCACGAATTATGAAGCCTACAAGTACTTCCTATCCTGATCATCTTGAGTGGGGCAGCTATTCATTCTTCGTTTACCTCAGGTACAAGTTTCCACTTTCCACTGTCTCTTTTTCCTTGTTCCCCCCTCATGTTCATGCTGCCATTAGTAGATTCATCTTTCACCGTGCAGGCAAGCTGATTTAGAAAATCCCGGTTATAGTACTGTTGATCAGTACCAGTATATATTGGGATTCGCCTAAGCTTAGCTTCGCGATCATGTTTAGGGTGGCACAGCCCATTGCACTGCACCGTTTGGTCGGCTGGCCCTAAGAACATAATTATTCTGACACAAACTGATTTCTAGCTAGGGTAATAAAATAATTCTTTCCCTGTTTTGATTTGGAGGCTATATATTAATTAACAGCTGGCGCATCAGCAGCATGACTTCTCTAAACAAAAAAAGGTTGATGACAACGTTCTTGGTCCAAACACCCTTTCTGCACTGCTTCCTCGAAGATATGTTTCATACGAGCCCATCAGGTTACCTGCCTCCATCTCGACAATCGGTCAAACTGCATGATATCTCGAGATAGAAGATAGATGAGACCGGAAACATCTAGGAGATACAGAAATAGAGAGAAAAAAACTGTATCACATACAAAGTTCTATAAATTAGTATATGATTGGTAGATTAAAATAACCCACACACACACCAATTAGAAGAATAAATAGAGAGGTCTGACGATTGTGATAAGCAAACAAGTTTCGCCATTGCAGGCTCTCCATTAATGGAAGGTAGTGCAGTGCCTGTCATTTGTTGACTCATGTAAGTGCCTGGATGACTTGAATATGCGCCGGCCGTCTTCTATTATATTACATTATCTCTTAGTAGCCAAAACTCTATGCTTGTGCCTCACTGCCTAAGGCTCATTTGAAAATGTTCATCTTGTGTTTCTAAATTTATTTTTTTAATTAATATTTTTTATACTTTTGATACATTAATATTAAAAATATATTTTTAATAATACACTATCTTTTTAAATAAAAAATATTTTAAATCACCCTACAACAATCTCAAACAAACTTAAATAAAAAACACACTATCTTTTTAAATAAAAAATATTTTAAATCACGCTACAGCAATCCCAAAGAAACTTAAATCTCCTTCCATCTTCCATCATCCATCCATTTTTATCCTGTTTCAAGGTATAATTGGTTTTGAGTGACCCAACAAGGGTAGCTAGTTTTTTATTTTTTTATATATGTTGAGACTCGGATCTTCTCTTATTAAATAATATTATTTTAGATCATGCACTATCATTAAACTAAATGTTATTATAATATCCAACACTTATGTTCATCTACCTTTGTAATTTCATGTTGTTTCTTCCATTATTGGTTTGAATTTTTAAGATCCACGTGATAAGTAAAATATAAATATCCAATAACTCTTGAAAAAAAATATTATTTATCCAAAATAACTCCAAAAACTTATATTAACATTGTTATTATAGTTATAAATTTTAATTCAAGAATCAATTTAGATTACAAGTTAAAAGGGTTGATGCTTAGAAGTTTTTTATAAAGATCAAAACAATATTATTTTAATAAAAAATTAAAAAATCAATTAATTAAGAGCTAAATTTTAACCGGAGTAAGCTTGGATTGACCAAATCATCTAATCAATTTGAGTTTTCGATCTAATTAGCTACTTTTTGTTTTTTTATCTAGATCAATTCAAGCCCATAATAAACTAGACTACGAGTTAAACCATTAAGCTAAATATGATTAAAACCGTGTTGATGCAATATGGTTGACTATTGGCTTTGAATATTAGTCAAGGTGTGTTGAGTATTTTCTAGTTAAACCACTAAGCTAAATATGATTAAAACCGTGTTGATGCAATATGGTTGACTATTGGCTTTGAATATTAGTCAAGGTGTGTTGAGTATTTTCTAGTTAAACCACTAAGCTAAATATGATTAAAACCGTGTTGATGCAATATGGTTGACTATTGGCTTTGGATATTAGTCAAGGTGTTAAGTGTTTAAAATTAGTACTTAATATTTAAATAAGAGGAGCACGAAGAGCTTGGTGTAGGAACGTGGTGGTGATCGCACAACCCATGAGAATTATAATTTGACATGTAGTTGTTAGGTAGGCGCTAGCAATTTATGGTGTGGCCATTGGTGGGGGCACCAGTAACATGCAAGTCTTAATGGTAAGAAATGTATGTCTTCCTATCTAGGGTTTCTAGTTTTCAATGTGCTAGCCAATGGCCTCCTTGGCAGGTGCATTCTTTGGATACACAAAATCCCAATCATAAGATTTCACTCACATAATCTTCCATTTTGTCACCACTTTGGAACAAAAGCTACCACTGCTCCCGTTTTACTGTTACTAGGTCTCCGTAGGTGTCCCTCTCCTCCTACAGCAGGCCCGTTTGGAAGTGCAGGAGAGATTGCGATGAAATATAATTAGGTCTATATAGGTGTCACTCTCCTTTCACAGCGGCCTGTTTGGAAATGGAGGGGAGGCTGCGATGACAACCGCGTTCTCCCCCTTCATCATTATTAGGTCTACATTCATGGCACTCTCCTCTTGTGCCGGCCTCTTTCTTACATAAATTCTAGCGACGTAACCTCCATATACTCCGTGACCACTATAAAATTGTAATTATATTATATGCTGCTAAATTATATAATATTATGCACTGCTTAACTCAATCAAGACACTCATCAATTTCTTCTCCAATCTCTCTTTGCTCCCCTTAGTTGTGAAATGGCATCATGCTCAACTGCTAGAAAGACTGTCTGACGCAATATTGTAGCGAGGGATCTCCCAACCGACACATGGGTACGTTATGGCATGATTCACTGACGCCTGTGCCTCCACTTTGCTGAGTTTATGGGTTCTGACTCTAATCCCACCTTTGTAGTAATCAAACATAACAAAGCTCTGATGCTGTGATGATCCCATAAAACCCTGGCGGTCGATTCCTCTTCCACTCTAGTGCGGCAGTAGGGGTCAGAATGGCCCTGCCCTTTTCCGCCTCATTACAGATCTTTCTGCTCTCTGACGCCACCCGCACCCAGATATGCATACCCTTGCTACATGAGGTCTCTCCTCGAGGTTTTTCTCCCTCTCTCTATATATAGCAGGGAGATCCTCATCCGAATTGGCACTAGCTTCTTTGTTGCTCAAGATTCTCTTGCTGACTCCCTTTCCAACAAATTATTTTGCCTTCCCCCCCAGCAAACTTAGACTCAATCTCATTTTCGAGTCGCATTTCACAAAAAACGTCCTAATCTCCTAGTCTTAGACCCAGTGTCCACCCACTTATGGCTTGTGCAATCATAATAACGTTACGACTTAGGTGAGCTTACTATCTTGTTTTTGGAGCAATTTTTAGTGCCCTATCTATATATTGCAGGTCTATATTTTGTTTGCTATCACTCCCAGCCTAGCACAAGACTAGAAGAAGAATCTTCTTGGAAATGTGCATATATATATATATATATATTAATGAACTAATCATAGACTTGTAACCATCCAGGCATAAATCAGCCCACGGCAATGTGCCAGGCTGAACATGCAAATCCTCTTTTGAATGTCTCGGCAAGTAAACTCAGTGCAAGGTTCATCAATCTTTTACCAGAAAAATAAGATATTACCCTTTCAACATTTCCTCAAGTAATCTTTTCTCCTAACTAATCCAATATTTCGTATCTGATTAAGACATTCAAATTGAAAACCTCAATTATAAATAGTATTATTCTCTGTTTAAGACCTTCAAATTGGAATTTCCAAATTGAACAGTAGTTACCGCGAAAAAGAAAAGAAGAGTACTGTCTCCTTGAAGACTGACAATTTCTTCATAATTTTAAACCATGGTGTGATATCTATGCTCATAAAAAAATATTCCTATCTTAAAGATTTGAAACATGATTTTGTTAAAGTAGATATTCCTTGTTCTTCCTCCAAAACCACATAGCGTAAAGCCAACTTTTGCACTCAATAAACAACATTTTGTTATCTAATTTTGAGGGTCACCTTTACCCTAAGAACATGGCTTTGCTTTCAATCCACATCTTCTCCCTATGTTTTATACTTAGCCTTTGCTTTCCTCTACGTTACATCAAGGTTCTAAACCCTATAAAATACTAAAGGAACAACTTTAAAAATACATCGAGTTTTGGAATTTATAGATATAGTTAGACTAGTAATGTAAAAACTGAGGGAAAAAAGGACTTGGCAAAGGAAAAGCTGGTGAGCTTGAAGCCGTGTCAAATCGGGTGTCCAGCAGAGAACTTTCCAAGTCCTCATCAAAGCCTTTTCTCAGCAGTTTCCATAATAATATATATTAACACCTCTTCTTAAGTTATTCCTTCCCAACATCTCTATGTCATCATACTCTTTTCTATTTCCATGTACAAATACCCTCGCGTTTCCTCTCACATCCCTCCTTACCTACCCATAATTTCCTTCATCCTTCCTGTCTGTGTTTTGACTTTAAAGGGCACCTCTTGTTTTACTACTTTTTATTTGTAAGTATGTAAACTAAATAATTAAAATCACTCTAATGTGACAAGTTTTATTTCTCGTTAACATTTGTGGGGTGGTCTTTTTTCTTTCACTGATATTTATTTTGTTCTGATTGGAGTAGGAGCAAGAACATACTATGATTAAAGAAATGGTACACAGATTACGGGAGATGTTGTTATTTTTGTTCCTAGTGATCTTTTCCAAGGCTACTGGGGTTAAGGCTTGTTCGCGAGGCGGCGGGATACAGGAAAGTGCTGCTTGCCTGAGCTGGAGATTGGCTGTGGAGGCTAACAATGTGCGTGCGTGGCGCACTGTCCCTTCTCAATGCTTGCGATATGTTGAAGCTTACATGCTTGGAGGACAGTATGAAAGGGACCTTGACTTGATTGTGGACCAAATCTTGAGTTATGTGAATGAGATAGTTCTTTCTAGTGATGGCATGGACGCTTGGATCCTAGATGTTGATGACACCTGCATCTCCAATGTCTTCTACTACAGAGGAAAGAGATATGGGTATATGTGTGCATGGTCCTGTCATATGTATGCTCTATTAATTGGTACTGTAAGCTTACTAATCAATGGTGTTTGTTTCCTGTACTGTAGGTGTGACCCATACGATCCAGCTGGTTTCAGGGCATGGGCATTAAAGGGAGGATGTCCAGCAATTCCTGCT